AATAAAATCTTTAAAAAAATAAAAAATAAAAACACGAAAAGAGAAGTCAGATTTTGACACTTGCTGGATACCACAACTTGGAGACTTTAGTCAAAAGCGTTCCTAAAGTTAGTTACATCAAAATTCCCATACTAAACAAAAGATACGGACTTGAATGAACATTAAGATTCATCAAACATACATGCCGTTCCAGTGACAAGTAAAGTTGCGAGAACAAAAGGCACATGCAAGACATTTATCAAGGAAATGCTTTGTAGAGTCTTAAAATATCGAAACAAGAAAATACTTTCATGAGAATAAAATTTGTTGACCAGCACTACTTGGCATTCAAGTGAAAAAGCAACTCAGAAAGGACCACTTACAGAATACGAAGCACTCAGATCACAGGATGAAAAAAAGCTTTATCCTGGTAAAGGAAAAACTGCTATGGCTGGATAAGCCTTCAACTACCAGAATTAACAAAGAAGAAAACTAAACAGTAGCCAACCCATCATTCTGAATCTATGATTTTGAGTTTTAATTGTTGCTCATTCTCTGGGCATGTCCAGAAATCTGCGAGGTCAGTTATGTTTCTCCCACACTCTCTAGAAGCTTATACCATGTGTTTAGCACAGCACCGTAAGAGAATACATCCGGTCACAACTGTGTGCTCACTCTTCAGCAGGCCAGATGGAGAGAGAGTTTTAAGCCAACAGAATCAGAGCTGGGTAGGCTGAACTTCACCAACCATTGGCTATACTGACTAGAAGAGCACTAATGAGTCTAGCACCCAGTACAGCAGTCAGCTTGAGTAGCTTATGACTCAGAGGTGCCAAGCGGCCATGTCCCAGAGTGAAGTCAGCCTTCAAGACAAGAGAGACCTGGGTTTAAATTGTGCATCTTGCTCTTACTGTAGGACCAAGAGAAAAGTAATGAATCTAAACCACAGTTTACCCATCTTCAAAATGAGAGTTGTATTATGTCTGTTACAACATTATAGTAAAAAGATGAGGGTAACCTATTTAAAACAACTGGCATATCAGGGAAATTCAAATCAAAACCACATTGAGATACCACCTTATACCAGTTAGAATGGCAAAAATGGACAGGGAAAGAAACAACAAATGTTGGAGAGGTTGTGGAGAAAGGGGAACCCTCTTACACTGTTGGTGGGAATGCAAGTTGGTATAGCCACTTTGGAAAACAGTGTGGAGGTGCCTCAAAAAATTAAAAATAGAGCTACCCTATGACCCAGCAATTGCACTCCTGGGTATTTACCCCAAAGACACAGATGGAGTGAAAAGGAGGGCCATATGCACCCCAATGTTCATAGCAGCCATGTCCGCAATAGCCAAACTGTGGAAAGAGCCAAGATGCCCTTCAACAGATGAATGGATAAAGAAGATGTGGTCCATATATACAATGGGATATTACTCAGCCATCAGAAAGGATGAATACCCAACTTTTACAACAACATGGATGGGACTGGAGGAGATTATGCTAAGTGAAATAAGTCAAGCAGAGAAAGTCAATTATCATATGGTTTCACTTATTTGTGGAACATAAGGAATAGCATGGAGGACATTAGGACAAGGAAGGGAAAAATGAAGGGGGGGAGAATCAGAGGGGGAGATGAACATGAGAGACTATGGACTCTGAGAAACAAACTGAGGGTTCTAGAGGGGAGGGGGTGGGGGGATGGGCTAGCCTGGTGATGGGTATTAGCATGGAGCGCTGGGTGTTATACGAAAACAATGGATCGTGGAACACTACATCAAAAACTAATGATGTATTGTATGGTGACTAACATAAAATAATAAAATTAAAACAAAAATAATTGTCTGAACTAAAAAAAAAAAAAATTTAAATAAATAAAACAACTGGCATGAATGCCATGTGCTCCCAATCCTGGCTTTAAACTTTGACAAAAGTATATATACCCAATTTTATATCATCTCTGAGAAAAAAGTTTATATAGTATAAGAATAGGTACATTGGGTCACAATATGAGTCTCTTAGGAGGAGGTAAAGTGGTGTCGTGAGAGAAAAGAGCCACCTCTCCCCATAATGTAAATTTTTTTCAACTCTAAGGAAAAAAATGTAGCTGTACCCTACAACACACAACTACATTCCATTAAACTCAATGTTAGATACTACAAAAAATAAAAACAAAAGAAAGAGCAAGACGACATCCTCTCAAGTTCACTGAATCAATCTAAAAGAGGTTCACACCAAGTATTGGGCAACGTTGAAATCCAAATAGAAAATTTAATAATTGTTTTCATATATAAATTTGGTGGTAAAATCAGACCTGAACTTGGACTTGAGGTTCTACAGTCTTTATTCCTGTACTGAATGTAAACATTCATGCATTATAATTTTCATTATGTTGCAAGGTCCTTAATCCCACTGGTGATGTGACTTAATATGTTATGTACTGCATTAACTTCTGAAAATATAAATATTCTGAATTTCAAAACATATATACGTCAAGGATTTCAGAGAAGGCAATCTAAACAATCTCTGCTTAAGGAAAAAAAGAGATAATAGCTGTAAAAAGAGGTAACTACCAAAGACAGAAACTTGTAGTTAAGAATTTATTTTCTATCCTTCTTAAATCAGTAATTGCTTAGAATCCTTGATGATCCAATAATATGGACACGGTGACATGACCTACATCATTAAGTTCTTGGAGAAGCACAAGATGATACATATAACACAATGTCTGACACAAAGTCAGTACCCAATAAATACTGTGTTACAGTAGTGCCTAGAAAAATACTTTGAACATTTACTAGGAACAGGCAAACTGGTAAATACCTAGCTCAGACAATCTGCTATATATATTTTATTTTGTAATTTAATTTTTAAAAAATCCAAGGGTGTTCATTTGCCTATGCCTAGTGTTGTTTCTATCAGGCCTCAGAGATAGCATTAGTGCACATCACAGAGGCAGGTAGCAATCCCAGGTAAGCAAAGAAGCATTTGGAGCTGATAAAGTACAGTAAGAGTCCTTAATGCAATAAAAATATTATCTAAAAAGAAAGGAGCTGTGAAATACTGAAGAGCAGCCTAGAGAATGTTTCCAAAATTTAACGTACAAACTCATCAGCCAGAGTTTGCATATTCAGCCAGAAAATGCATATTCTGATTTAATGTGGTGGGGCCACACATCCTGCATTCAGGTTCTCAGGTAATCACCATGCTGTTTATCTAGAGGCCCACATTGAGAGTGGGAAGGCCCCAGAGGAGTGGCCCTCCAAGTATATGATCAACATCACAATCTCCTGGAAAGTTATTAGAAATGCAAACCCTAGAGCATAAGGAAATTTTTGGAGATGACTGATCAGCCATTTATATCCAGTCAGATTACTTTCCCTGATAACAAAAGAATACTTTTTAAATGCTTAAAAATAAAAATAGCACACTAAAACATGTTACAGAAGAAAAACAGTTCCTCTCTGTATACAATTTCCAAAACTATAGTCATTACAAGTACAGTTAAAATGCAGGCTTTTACTTTATAAGAAGCCTGCTCTTATAAATTGTAGGCAAATATAATGTGCGCAATTCTCAGTAGGAGCCCTTACCAACTACTCACAAAATAGGTCTTGTCCATTGTACCTAGGTAACAAAGGTATGACTGTGTATGGAAACCAGACTAGTTTTCTATTTCCTTCTGCTGAGGACGTAACCAACCACATCATGGTTTAGCCAACTTCTCCACAGTCATGTTTACACAATGCCTGGCTGATGTGTAAACACATGCCAACATTTTGATTTATGGCTATAGATCATCTGTTTACATGCACAGATACACAAATGTATAAATTATGGTACATTAATGGTTTGCAACACAATATTCTTGAAGGACAAAAACCTTGAGGATAGACTACAAATATACAATGTCATGACCAGAGAAAAGATTCGTTTTGTGAATGTGAAGCCAATTGATTATTCAAACTTTGGGGGAAAACCTATTTAACAAATTGATGCATTCAGAGTTCAGACTCAACATTTTCTTCAACTTCCAAGTCTGAATTCCAAGTTCACCTCTCAGTCAAAACCTGAGCACACAGATCTACCCTTCATCTATTTCAAAGGTGTCAGTAACAGATTGTGAAGCCCCATACTTGGTTCAGGATCGACGCTGTAATTTTTGCCAGGACCACAAGTTTTAACAGTGTTTCTGATATCACATCAATGGGGACGGAGGGAGGGAGGGACCAGTGTTTCTGGCATCTAGTGAATATAGTCCAGGCACACTGCTCAACAACGTACAATGGACAAAACAGTCTCTGCAACAAAGAATTACCTGGACTAAAATACCAAGGGTGCTGAGGTTCAGAAACCCTGATTGAAATGAGGGAGGCTGCAAAAATAGGCAATCAATGTCCCCTGTGCATCATCATTACATTCCTAGTACAGTGTTAAGCACAATGACAAATATTTGTTGATTATTACATAAACTACCTCTGTGTAGCTGTGAGGCCTAAAGATGGAAAACAATGATAAAGGGGTTATTACACATGCAGTATCTAAACTACAAAACAAAATTGCAATCATTGTCAAGATTGAAAAGGAATTTAACACATCATCCAGTCTTATTTCTATATATGGGGGAAAAATACCTTCATATGAAAGATGCTATATCATGTACTGATATGGCAGTGTTATGGGGGTGGGGGGTGGGTGACAAGGCCTCTTAGTAAAAATAAGTATCTTAAGTTTATTAAAATCGGTTTTTACTTCTAATAGTGTCAGTGTCCCATACTTTTCATAAATTATTTCCTTTGTAAAAATTAAAACCAATGTGACATAAGTAATAAGTGACATTTCACAAGCAGCAAACACAAAATGTAATTATTTTCAAAAAAAAAAAAAAAACACAAATCACAGACCTCTGTGGCCTGCAGACATTTATACTTCTGAGAATTCTGGGATTTAAAATGTCATGAGAAATTCTGAACTGGCTTACATTTTTGAAACACAGGAACTGACAGTCACAAGGCCAAACATACCCTTAATAATCGATTCCGCTGCATACAGATCTCGTTTGTAGGTCACCTAAAGGACAAACAAACCTCATTAGACTTAACAGAGTAGGAAGGAATGTGAGAGCAATAAAATTATGCCCCAAAGGAAATGATTTATTTTGGAGAAACTATAAACACATAGTACTGACAATTTCTAAATTATAACAACATTAGCAAGTTCAGATACATTTTATTTCTGCAAATTGCTGAATACTGGTTTTGGGATCTGTAAATTGAGATATTATGTGGCCGTGGTTATCAAACTCTTATTAATATAAGTATTATTTCACAGATAATGTGGTAGTGTTTAAATAAAAGTACTGGTACTACTGGTTATTACTGTTTTATAGTAAAGTTTTATGTTATAAGGAAGGAAAAGTATGTGTAACAAAAATCATAAAATAATTCTCAAAGGTTAATGCACATCAAGAGGGACTTCCTTCTCAATTGAAGGAAGTAGATATCTTTATGTAGATAAGGTTCACCTTTCAAGTTTTTTATTAATACATGGATCCGACAGGGACTAGAGGATACCTTCATGTACATAAGAACAATCATTATCTTTCATGAAGATCATGCATCCTCCTTCTAATTGTAACCTGACATAGTCCTAGGGCAGATATTTCCCACAACATATCCTGTGAGCTCAAGTACAGAATATGTCAGGTGTTTGGCAATGCAGAATCAGTTCTTATGTCAGAACTTAACCTAAAAAATAATGCATTGTATTAATAAGTACTATAAGTTTAGGAGCTGGTTCATCATTAAAGTGCCAAGATGATTATGATGAAAGTGGTCTAAAAACCCACTTTGAAAAGTACTTACCAAGTGAGTACATTTCTGTGCCTATAATTCATATTTTTTCCCCTTCAGACTATCTCATAACTAGACTTATACAAAAACTTTGTTTGGCTCAAGTTGCTCAGGGCACTTCTACCCAAAATTAGATTCCCCTGCTATGCCTTTACCCTGGCTGGTGCAAAACATCACCCTACAATCGACAATTCAAGTAATACCTAACATGTAAGATAGACAGAAAATTGGGGTGCCTGGGTGGCTCAGTCAGTTAAGCATCTGACTCTTGGTTTTGGCTCAGGTCATGATATCAGGGTCATGAGATCAAGCTGCCCCCTACGCCCCCATTGGGCTCTGCCCTCAGGGCAGAGTCTGCTTGAGACTCTCTCTCTCGATCTCTCTCTCCCTCTGCCCCTCCCCACTCCCGTGCTCTAATAAATAAATCTTAAAAAAATAGATAGAAAATTGCTTGAGCCTTCAACTAAACTATTGAAGTCACGTATGACATTGTTATATGACTGACAAAACAAGTATATGCCAACCAAAACTAGTACTATAGTTACTGATCCACAGTGAAATTCCAGTATCTGGACAGAAAATAGAAAACAGACATTTAAAGGTCCATGCTATGTATTTCACCAAATTAAACAATATACTGATCTCATTCATTCATTCAAAACATATTTATGAAATAACTACTCTGTTCTAGGTCCTGTTCTAAGTTTTGGGGAGAGAGCAATGAAAAGAATAAGTAAAATTCCTTAACCTGTGGAAACAGTATTTTCGTAGAAAAATTTTCCTGTAAAAATTCCATCAAAGATTTTCTTCTTTTTGCTCAAAAACCCAAAGTTCCGAAATCAGGCTTCAATACTTGTAATTCAAATGAGAAAATAGTGTTTTTCTTTAATAATTTTCTGCTGTATAGGGTAAACTCAGAACTGAAATAGGAAGAGGCCTAATTACCGTTATTCATTTTGTATTCCTTTTGGCTTTGAGGAATGAAACTGCATTCAAAATCACAATAGAGCAACTGTGAAAGTAACTTCTACTTTCTTTGCCCAAAGATATCTTAATGATGAATTTTTTTAAGTTAAGGAAAAATTGGTCTCAACTCCTAAAATCCCTTTTCTAGCATTCCTGCAAGACTAAGCAGTTTTACATTGCAATCACTCTTGGTTAAGTTACCTATTAGAATCAACTAAAGGTCCTTTCTCCACTATTATGATTAACTGTATAATCAGGAAAGACTACTAAATTTCCTTTTGTCTACTTTTTCTTGTAGGTTGTGGATACCTACTACACACAGATTAAAGCTTTTTTTTATTGTTTACTAATATCTTCCACATAAAGCCTTATTTAATACTTCAACCCACTTCTCACCAAACCGATCTAAGAAAAATTAAGTACAAAATGTTTCTCACAAACTGGTAAAGTACTGCGTTTAAAAATAGCTTTATTTTTTTTCCTAATTGAAACAGTTAACGTACTTCAAAGGGAACAGTACTGGAAAATGTTGCAATTCTGAACTGATGAGTTACACTTTTTCTGTCAAACTTTTACAGTAATATGGGTTGCCCTTTCCTTATTTTTCTTAATTTTCAAAAGTTTATTAAATCAGTTTGAAGTTGATTTCCTTCTGTCAGTATGATCTGTAGTTTTCCTTGGACCTTGCACAATACATTATGAAAATTTGTTAACTTAAAAAAAAATTCAACCCTTTAGTGATGGAAGAGAGCCCTCCATCCTCTGACTCACTTATTTTCATATTGCTCAGTAGAGGCTCAGAAGCCACCTCAAGACAAATGCTCAGGGCCCCACATTTGCCCCTCACCTAGTTAAGCTCAATTTTTGTCTCTTTTCTTTGTGCTTCTGTGTAATAGTTCATCTGAGTCAAGTGTGCAACTAAAAGAAAATAATATCCAATACAAGAGAAACCTGAAACTCAGAGCCAGACCGAGTTTTCTGACTCTGAGGCCAGGCCTCCCTCAGCTGCCTCAAGGTGGGTTCCACACACTATCACACCTACCTGTATCACTCTGTGTTGACAATATAGTAACAGACTTTTCAGAGCCTCCTTCAGTTGGCCACCATCTTACGTGAATCAGACAACACCTAGTCCCCATTTTTCCTATCTTTTAACTCGTAAGAAAATGAGTATATAGCTCCAATAATTAGAAGTCAGAAAATATTAAATTTTACAAAATATAGTATGTTTATTAGACACAAATTTAGATTTGGGGATGTATCTGTTTTATTTCCATTTCATCAATTAGGTCTATCTAGAAAATATCCCTTTCCTCTAGACTAGATGAAAATCTCTTAAAAGAAACAATGTTACCACACTGTATTTTTGAGATTTAAAGGAAGGGAGGTTATTTTGTTTTTGTTTTTTTTAAGATTTTATTTATTTGTCAGAGAGAGAGAGAGCATTCACAAGCAGGGGGAGTGACAGACAGAAGGAGAAGCAGGCTCCCCGCTGAGCAGGGAGCCCGATGCAGGACTTGATCCCAAGACTCAAAGGCAGACACTTAACTGACTTAGCCACCCAGGCATCCCTGTTTTTGTTTTTAAACAAAGATGCCATAACACGTGATCTGGGAAAAAAAAAAAAAAAGTAGTTCCCATCAAAAGGATTCCTGAAAAGTCAGGAATATGGGATGATTTCAAACACTTCAGAAACTCCTCCTAAACAAGTATTTTCAGACAATGAACAGTTTAATTTCTTCAATTCCTGGTTATAATCTTTTATGCCTTAAGGATAGTTGTAAATTTAGAAACAAAAAGCCTGTTCAATTAGTTCTGTATAGTGTAGAAAGTGAGCAAGTATTTAAGTATATTGGGACAAAAATATGGTACAATTATAAATTAAAGGAATGGAAGTTTTTATGTCCACTGGGACAAATTTTGTCAAATAACAGTGTGTCTGGCAAGGTCTGGCAAGGCACTACCCTTCAGGGAAAGCATGAGAGCCAATTCCTATCCCAGAAATCAGTCCTATTCTCTTCCATGATTGGTTAGTCTTTGTCATGAGGAGTGGGGGTTGTCCTCTATGCTGCATGGTGATTTTAAACAATTAATGTTTCCTCCAGGCCCCAAAGGAGCCACTGCATGAGGTATGGCATAACTCTGAACATTTATTTCTTGCTTTACTTCTAAAAAAAGTATGTAAAATACAAAATAACCCTCCCGGATTTCTGGTGGCAGTTCAAATAGTCCCACATGCAGGCATGAGACATTTCTAGTCATTCCTCATACCACTGTGGGGGTGAACTCCCTGATTTCTGAGGGGTAGGGGAAGGTATCCTGGATCTGTGTTTCAGAATCATCCCTTGCCTTACTTTTTATGGTAGTAAAATGCCTCCTGAAATGCATTTTTCACCGTTTCAAGATTTATGAATCATGAGCCATGTAGTTGGCTCAGCTACCTGAGTCCAGTACTGGTTTTAACTTCAGTGTACTAAATCTTTTTTCAGATCCAAATTTTTTAAAATGGTAGCACTTTTGGTGTTAGTATAGAATTAGAACACTAATTTCTAAGTATACATTACTGCTTTGGTTTAAACAGAAACTGAGTAACTTTTATCCTTACAAAATGCCAAGACCACAAAATTAAATGACGAGCCTATACTGAAGACAATTCATACAATGTCATCAAGAAGCTTTAGAGGGCTATACCAATAGCTAGGGAAGTATCAGAAAGAAGAAAAAAGGGGAGTGGGAGAAGATGATGAGAGACAGGAGGCAGAAAGAGGAAACAAGGACCCTAAAACTGTAATACTTGCACTCAAAATCATTTCACCTCAATTATCAGAAGAAATATGGTACCAGAAAAGAACTCCTATCTGCCATTTGAAAGACTTTCTGCCCAATCCATTGCATTCTATGCCCTTTTAAATCCAAGGTCCCATTATTCAAACATTGTAAAGGAGAAGTCCTGGGAAAGCCAATCCCTGACTTAGTGCACTTACAGTTGGTTCCCATGAAAGGGAAGCAGAGCACCAAGACGTGAGAACTAATACTAATACTGTGTTGTTGGAGAAATCAGTGAAATAGAAGATTTAAAAAAAAAAAATCTAAAAATTGAAATAAATTTGTGAGGAACAAGTGGAAATTTTCAAGAGCAATCTGTTACTTTCCTCTCTGCACATCTCAGAGGGCTTGACAAGTTTCAAATAGGCTCTGAACACCCACAGAAAAAGATCACCACACACCCTACAACATCAAAAATGAGGCCAGAGAGTATTAAATGAACATGTGAGCAGCAATAAAACTTGTCTGTGAGTTTCCACTTTCATCTCCCGTTGCCAGCAAATTAAGTCTAGCCCACAGCCAAAAGGCGTTGTACAGAGATGAGTGTCAGGATCTGTAACAAAACACCTAATTGGTAAACAACATAGTCCTCACAATATGTTTACTACCATCTGAGCCACAGACAGAAAAGGATACACACAATGAATAAAATGTTTGCCTGCTGGGTTGAAGACATTCGGATATCCTTAAAAGAATAATATTGTGTAAGGCAATAATCCAGACATACCAATATTTTGTAATTTTGTAATTTCAGTCATTTTAAGTATGGATGAGACAATCTTAGCATAGGGCAAGGCCTATCACATTACTGTACAGAATACTTAATGAACTCATAGGGCTTTCTGTTTTATTTTTAAGTCAATGAGGAAATATGCTTTTGGGTTCATATCATCTTAGAGTTAGGATGAATCTTTCCTTATCAGATTTAGGTGGATGCTTTATAAAGATTTCATCCCTTGGGGCACCTGGGTGGCTCAGTTGGTTAAGCGTCTGCCTTTGGTTCAAGTCATGATCCCGGGGTCCTGGGATTGAGCCCACATCGGGCTCCCTGCTCAGTGGGAAGCCTGCTTCTCCCTCTCCCTCTGCTCTCCCCCTGCTTTCCTGCTCTCTGTCAAATAAATAAATGAAATCTTTAAATAAATATATATAAATAAATATATATATATATATATATATATATATATATATATATATATATCCAAGCTCTCTCTCTATATATGAAATATATGTTTCATCCCGTATTTCAAAAGCAGCAATACTTCAGAAAATAAAACTACCCTACCCTCTTTCAGAAAACACTGTTCAATTCAATACATCTCTACCTTCAGAACAAAGGAAAGCCACACTGTGAAACACTCCAGCTCCAATTACTTCATTCCCTCGAGAACAAAGAAGCTGGTCATTAGGAGTCAAACCTTACTGTATTCAAGAGTCTAACTCCTCACTGGGGCCACCAGGTGGGTCCAGTCACCCATCCCACTAAGTCAGAACTATGGCAGATATTTCTTGAACCCAGTTAAGTTGGAGCTAGCACCCTCCAGGGCCTGGAAGGAAATGTTGCTACTGTGGAAAGCTGAGTTTCATCCTCAGTCCAATGGAGTTTAAGGAAACTGAATGTAAGAATATATAGAGAGGGAAGAAAAAAATTGAATAAAACCATTTTATCAGCTAAAATGGAATTTGTTTGAATGAATTATCTCAAAGTGAATTTTCTGCAAACCAAGAAATAGAAATGATACATACTTCGATGCTCAGGAAACCCAGTAAAACTTTTAATGCCTTTAATGTATACATACATACATACATACATACCCTTATACCTCAAAATACTTAATGAGTATGAAACCAAGCATTTTTATACTACCTCTCCATATTCTTAAGCACCTGGAAAGTGTTTATACTTGCAGAATGTGTCTTAGGAATGACCTATAAACACAGCCAAGATCCAGAGCAAAATGCAAACTTCCTTACCTTCCAGAGGTCGGGTGATCCTTCCACAAGTTTGGCATTAATGTGACCATATTTTAGAGCCAACTGCAAACACTCAGTTCCAAATTCCAAGTCATAGTCACTACACTGGGTAGAAAAAAAAGTTCAAATATATTTTTAAGTAAAACTTTGTTTTATTTCATAATCAATATATAAAAGGAAGGGCCTAGAGAACTAAAAAAATCTTTGATTAGGTACTGATTCATCAAGTTCCATGATAATTGTCCCTATGCCCTAAATGTCAAAAGATACAGGAAGTAGGTAAGTTGCAATCTTAAGTTTTGAACTTCCTCAATAGTTTCAGGAGTCAAATAAATAGACTACTTTTTTTTATTATAAGCTACTTTTCCAAACATGTTTCTAAAATGCCTGAAAGTATGGCTGAAGTTTTTTTGTATCAGGATTTTATCTAACAAATATATGTATCCATCCAACTCCAACCCCTATGCTATATTTATATTAAAATATTTGCAAATCATAGCTTTTGTTCATTTTAATATTTTACTTGTCAATATGTCTTAAAAATTTATATTTTGATTTTGAACATGAAAACAGTTCAGTATTCTGTTATTAGACAAAAAAGGAGAGCCTGGGGCACCTGGGTGACTCAGTCAGTTTAGCCTCCTGCTCTTCGTTTCAGCTCAGGTCTTGATCTCAGACTCATGAAATCAAGTCCCGCATCAGGCTCCATGCTCAGCTGGGAGTCAGCTTGAGATTCTCTCCCCATGGCCCTCTCCCCACTTGCTTGCACGCTCTAATAAATAAATCTTAAAAAAAAAAAAAAATGGAAAGGCCTCTCATAGATTTAATAAAGTACAAGCAACATTTTTAAGGATTTTTAGCAAAACCATTAAAATGACCAATACAATTCAGCTGAACAATACTGTGTCCTGATCATATCCAAGCTCTATATTAAGGGGCAGCATTTAAAAGATAAATGCGATGTGTATTAGGTCCTCAAGGAAATCAAATCTTTTTTTTTTTTTTTAAGATTTTATTTACTTATTAGAGAGAAAGAGATGAAGAAATCACAAGTGGTGGGGATGGGCAGAGGGAGAGGGAGAAGTAGACTCTGCTGAGCAGGGAGCCCAATGTGGGGCTCAGCTGGATCCCAGGACCCCAAGATCATGACCTGACCATGACTGAGATCATGACTGCCTTTGGCAGTCACTTAACTGACTGAGCCACCCAGGCTCCCCAAGGACTCATATCTTAAAGAAGAAGCTGATTTTGAACAAATATTTTGCAACAGACTATGATAGACGCAACACTAGAATATCTACAAGTAGACCAGGAGATAAAATACTTAATTCTGTGTGAAGGCATTATAGAGGCCTTTCAAAGCAAATGATCTCTGATCTCATTCTAAAGACTGAATAAAATTGTAGGAGAAAGGTATACCTGTAGGGCAAAAGGTGGCATACAGAGAAGTTTCAGACATCTGATAGATTTATGTTTTAGAACAAACATCCCCAGGTAAGGAAGGCTGCAGAAAGGCCACAAATATCAGTACAACATTTAGCACCCATTTCCAGGGCTGCTTTGCTGTACTAGAGATTTCAAAATTCTAACTATAATGGTATGTTAAGGTAATGGACAAGAAAATAGAACCACCAAATGTACATAGTCCCAAATTGACCAGAATGGTCTCTCAGCTTAAATCTTCTTTTATGATATGCTACTTAACATATTCCTTAGACATTGTAATTTTTTAAAAAGCATTATCAACATTAGTTATATTCAAGTAAGACAAATGTTAAGCCTCTTCTTTGTACTTCCCGCATTTGTACATACTCATTTAGCAGTATTTGAGATCTATATACAGTCAACAGAATGCTCTCTTTAACACATGGTCAAATCCCAAAGATGACCAGCAATAGCCCTCTTCCTACTCTTTTCAGAGGCAAGATATTTAACACATTTGTGGAAAGCCTTAAAAGTGCTCACTAAGTACATGTTGAGAGGAGACCACAAGAACAGGTACCACCCTCCTATCTTAGGTGGTGAAAAGAGAATTACTTGATGCTCTACTCCTGACAATCACATGTTGTACCAGGCAAGATGGCAGCAGCCTACAAAGTGTATGATGTCTTTAGGATACCAGTCACTAGAGCCAATGGGAAACACAGAAAACTCTGGGTCCAATATATATTCCATATATACTGAGCAATCTTGGCAGAAAGAGTAGCCTGAATTTGTCATTTGTTGTATAGACTACTATTACAACTACTTATGGGGGGTTTTGGTCATTTCTGCAACAAAAATTTTACTTTTGCAGGAAGTTCAAAAAAAAATACATGCTTAATAACCTGTTAAATTCTGAATTTCCGCATTTCTCAATAACACTGATGATGACTTCTACTTTTGTATAAGATATGGAAAGCTGGAAAAAATGTTTAGTTCTGAAGAAAAATCACATAAACTACAAAAGCATAACTTTTTCTTGTACCCACCATAGCTGAGGTCACAAGATGACCAAGTAGGCTTAAATCTAAGAAAAGGCATGCCTCCCCCAAGGACAGAGAGGACACCATCACCAGCTCACCTACGGTACAGCACAACCACAAGAGACAGCAGATGTCATACAAGCAGGTAAGAAGAAATAAACGGATAATCTCAACACACTGCTAAGTACTGAGTGGAGGTGACTATGAGAATACAGAACCTCTGGAGTGTTTATATCTTGCAGGCTCTGCTTCAGTAACCTACTACTATGAGCTCATGAACAGTATATTACTATTTGAAGGTGCCTGTGACTACATGTACGTTCTACACTCAAGGCATACACTAAACATTTTTAAGTTAAAAATAAATCAATAATGGTAAGACAGAATCATTAAACAATGAGAAATTAATACAAAGGTAGGCAAAGAGAAAAACAGAACATATGGAACAAATAGAAAACAACTAGCACAATAGTAGATTTTAAATCAAGAAAGTCAATTCAGTGTGTAATGGCTGAAAATTTTTATCTTTATTATCCAGCATGGGAATCATAGTGATATCCCTGATCACATAACATACACACACTGATTCTAAGAACCCTCTGCCCCCCTAAACTTGCAGCCCAAAAGAATGCCAAACAATGTTCCTCCCAGGCAGAAACTCTTAAGTATACTATTGTCAGAGGTCCCCAAATACAGTCCATCTCAGTCATGTTACAATGAAACTCAAAGTCAAAAAGCTCCACCTATGAAACCTACCAACTCCCATCAGTCCCCAACACATAAGCATGAACAGAAACCCCAGATTTAACTGAAACCCAAGACTAACATGAAATGTAAGGTCAAAAAGGCAAAACATAAAATCTTTTGGAGGAACTCTGCAGTTAAAAAAAGACTTCAGTATGATAAGTGAGAAAGTGCTTATACTCATAAAATAGGATATTTAAAAGGGGAGAAAATACAGGAAAAAAAAAAAAAAAACAGTGACCACAAAGTCCAATGTTAAAAAAAAAAAAAAAGGAAAAAGAAAAAAGAAAAACCAGAAGGAAAGAACAAAAAGAGTTGGAGAAAGAGACAAGTATTTAAAAACAAAATTACAATAGTGAAGAATATGAGTTTCCAAATTAAAAAGCCTTACAGCATGTAGAAGCTAATGAATGAAATACACCAAACCCAATTAACAGCAACAGCAAAAGGTCTCCTAAAAATAACAGTTGCAACAAGTAAACATTCACATGAAGAAAATGAATCCGGACACAATTTACACCCTTCACAAAAACTCAGAAGGGATTATAGACTTTAATGTAAAGCAAAAAACCACAAGACTCCTAAGAGAGAGGACAAAAGTTAGTTGACCTTGGGTATGGTTATACTTTTTAGATAAAACGCCAAAGGTGTGATCTACAAAAGAATTGATAAGCTGGACTTCATTAAAATTAAAAACTTGGGCTCTGCCAAGGTCACCCTAAAAAAATGACAAGACAAGGTAAAAGGTGGGAGAATATACCTGTAAAAGACACATGTGATAAAGGACTCTTATCCAAAACATACAAAAACTATTAAAACTCAACAAGAAAAAAAAAAACTCCATAAAAGGGTAAAAAACCTCAATAGGTAGCTCAACAAAGAAGATATACGCATGGCAAATAAGCATAAAAAGATGTTCTGCACCCCATGTCATCTGCAAAGAGAGTTTTATTTTGCCTCTCCCAGAGTACTTACTTCCTTTTCTTAACTAAGAATTCCAGTACAGTGTTTAAAAGGAATGGTGAGAGTACATTTTTGCCTTGTTGCTGATCTTAGTGAGAAAGCTTTCAGTTTATCATTAACTATGATGTTAGCAGGGACGCCTGGGTGGCTCAGTCTGTTGAGCATCTGACTCTTGATTTCAGCTAAGCTCATGATCTCGGGGTCCTGGGATGGAGACCCACACTGGGCTCCACACTTAGCAGGAAGTCTGCTTATCTCCCTCTCCCTCTCACCCCACTTGTGTTCACACTCTAAAATACTACTTAAAAAAGAAAAAAGTATGATGTTAGCTGTAGATTTTTTGTGCCCAGTCTTTATCAAATTGAGGAAGTACTCCCTCTATTCTAGCTTGCTAAGATTTTACCATGAATAGCTGCTGGATTTTGCCAAATACTTTCCTTGCATGTATTATTTTTCTTCTTCTTCAGCCTGTGGATGTGATGTACTGTAGTTGATTTTTTAAAGATGAACTAGCCTTGAATACCTGGGATAAATCCCACTTGGCTAAAGTCTTTAATTCTTTACATACATTATTAGATTCTACTTGCTAATATTTGTTGATGATTTTTTCATTTATGTTCATGACAGTGGTCTGTTGTTTTCTTATCCATCTTTGTCTGCTTTGCCTATTAGGCTAGCATCAGAATGAGTTAGCCATCCCTCCCTCTGCTTCTGTCTTCTATGGGCAAATATAGAGAACTTCAATAATTTCTTCTTTAAACATCTGTTAGATTTCACAAACGAATGCATCTGGACTTCAGGCTATTTTAGAAAATCATTGATTCTACTTATTTTTTAAAGATTTTATTTGAGAGTGACAGAGATAGATAGAGCACAAGCGGGGAGGAGAGGGAGAAGCAGGCTCCTGATGAGCAGGGAGCCTGACATGGGGCT